AACCACAAATCAAACAACAGAAAGACCGCAACTTCACAAAGTCGGGTTAAAGCAAGCTGGCCAGCTTTCAAGCATACAAAGCAATTACAAAAAGTTCTTGGCTCTTGGTTTAAAAAAATTTGAAAACAGGTTTAAATACGTTTTGTAAACAGATGATACATTGCTCTGGTCTAATTTTCACTTTTTGTTGTGTGACTTTTGAGTGTTATGAGAAAAATGTAGGTTTCAAAACTACCAGTGACAGCATCTCAAAATCCTGCTCGACATCGGTGCCATGATCTATGGTACATACCAGTCTATCAAAACAACCCCCAGCGTCCTTTGACAACACAAAGTTGCAAATACTGAAAATCTTAAGTTCACATGATCATCTTAAACCATCCTGTGCATGGGACACAAATTGGGAAGGCAATCTACCTCGAAAAACAAATAAATGGCAAGCAGCCAACTTCATAACTGTTGATAAACACGGCAAAAACCATGGAAATAAGGGAACTCCAGCACCATACGCCACCGGAATAGATCCGGCCAGACCGTCCGAATTCCAAAGGGCTTGTCGGGGGGGGAAGGTGCAGTCCATCCTGGACAACGTTCATTCTTCTCGGAGAGACGAAGGGTGAACCATGTTGATGGGCAGACCCGCAGATCCAGGAACTTGTCTGCTTTCCCCCCGCGGCGAGTAATGTCCTTAACATGGAGGAACCTGAGCCACCTACTCCATTCACCCCGTTGAACTCGCTCAGCAGACCAGACCAGCAGGCAGGCGAGGAATCTCTGTGACCTTGTCTTTAATAACCAGGTAAAAAAAACAAATTTGATTAGAAATTCTTCAGTTGTATGTGGCATGGTGGTCATCGTGTAACATAACTAACCAGACACCATTTTGGTACGTTTGTCATGTTTCTGTTCCACAGACCTTCACTCCATCCGGCGTATCCCCGAACGTCCATGTTCAACGCAACATTTCCTGTCATGGTAACCGGCTCAGCAACCCACGCGGCGGCCTTCATTACTCCCCAGCTCAGCAGGAAACTATCCCTGGGGGCTCGGCCAGACAAGGGACACAGTCCACAGCTAGGAAACAAAGGTAAACTTTTTGACACAGTCTTCGAAGGAAGGATTCTCTGCGAGAACTTAAAGGAAAAGGCAATTTTAGCTCGTTTAAAAGAGGTCCCTGACATCCGCAGCATCCGTCTACATCCGACCTACGCTGGGCCCAAGAACAGTGCAAGTTTTCATCCCAAACGGGGGTGAAAGCTGCTGAACCCTGCTTTTTGGTTGGCAGACTCAGAGTCCCGCATGGAATGACCTGAAATTTGCAGCTGTGGACCAATTAAATCTAGCGCACACATACGTCAGCAAGAAATCCTCCTGAGAGCAGCTCGGGGCGTCTGGTCGCGAGTGTTTGCAAGGAGTAACCTGCCAAACAACCCAACTCAGTGAGTACTACTAACAGGGGTTAAAGGTTGTGGTGCTATAATGAACCCCTTGAACAAGGTTTTGTGTATGGGCTTTTCCAATGACCCAGGTCAAAGAGCTTATGTAAAAAATTCCATTACACTATTATACTGTAGTTCTGCTTTCTGTTTAGATGCTGAATAAACTGAAGTTAGGAGCTACTGCAGGTAAAGGAAAAACTGCATTCTCTGAAGATATAACCAATCAATCACCAGTAAGAGAGATCCACGTCTATTCTATTGATCAGTACTGACTGATACTATTAGCTAGTTGTTTTTGATGAGGAGAGTAAACCCAAAAATGTGAGAACACCATCCCTTCAGCAATAAGAAATAACACATATGCCTCACATAATTTCTGTACTGTCCCTCGTGTATTTTACTGTTACGTATGATTAATTCAGGCCTCATAGGCCTCAACTTCCTCATTTAAAACTTAATAAATAAATCACTCCTTTTGTTACTTGAAAAACAATTCCAAATTAAGATGGAATGTTAGTGTTGACTGAAAGACTAATTCTTCTGGAGAGATCCCTCGGGATTTACTTTTGTTAACAAAAATTTGCATCATTGTAATCATCAAGTTCATACTGATTTTCTCTCAGTGTATAACAACTTCTACTATGTGCTTCAACTTAAACTATTGATATGTCTACCACTAAATTACTTGAACTACCCATCACACTTGTCACCTAATTCAGGTTGTTTGCACTCTTTGTTTCACTCCCACCCTTCAGTGACTTCAGCTACTTTTAAACTGTGTTAAAGTGCCACCATCTGGCCGACATGACTGAATGAGAGTGGACAGTTTATAAAAAACTTCTTTGATTGTAGTCAGTCTTTAACAAAAGTGCCAAATATCTCAGATTATTGAATATTTATGAAACTTGAATATAGCCCTCACTCAAAGTATACAGAATTAACAAAGTTTGTACATACTCCTCACTGTGGAGGACAATAAAGTGAAAACAATAAAGTATTCACACACTGAGCACAAGTTAAAATTTAATGTACAAAGAAAACATGTCATATTACTGTTCAGACAACAGGAAGTGGTGGGTGTTGGTAAATATTCAATATTTTCAGTATTGAGATGGAAAACAGTTTTAACACATTTCTCTTCAAATAGAGATTTAAACCCTTTTAAATTTGGTGCTACAGTTCAGGTAACATTATTATGAGAATTCACACATTCACACAA